AAACTAATAATTATAATTTCAGTATATAATATTATAATTAGTGAGGTTGTAATAATTTTGGATTATAGTTAGTTAGGCTGTAATAGTTTGGGTTTTTTTAGCGGGTTAAGGTTTTTTGCCAAAACGAGATTTTAATGGCCATTCTTTCATTGATTAGTCTACTCTTTATAATAGTCCATATATAATTATATATTTTATCCATGATAATTCTATGATTTTTCTTTTATGTGATACAAATTTAATAGTTAAAATAAATTTATACAGGGCAAGAACATCTCAATATTCACAAATTGATAAAAAAAAATGAAAGTTAATAATGCAGTACCCTCATTTTTTATTGGATTCCTAAAAAAAAATATTTATAATGAATTTTAATAATTTTTTCGGATTTTTTTGAAGCTTTAATCCGACCGATTCAGCCGATTCGCGATCTGGATCGCCGATTCGCCGATCCGGATCGGTTTTTGAGGTGCCCGATCCGGGTCACCGATCCGTTTTTTAAATCATTGTTTAAAACTATTGGTATTAGATTTAATACTTTGCATTTGTTTGTTTATACTAGGTGAATATAAAAATCGGAGCCAAAACATATATTGGATCAATTTTCTCTTTTACTTCTCCTTGGTTCTACAACTTTTTCATTGTTGTTTTTATGGGTTTGTTATAAGTATTTTGTTATTTATCTTGTTCATCACTTATTGGTAGAGTATTAACATTTTGAGGTCCGCCTTTATAGATTAAGTTGTCAAAATATTTAGCATTATTAGAGTCAATTATTGTGCTTGAACTTAGTTCGAAGAATCTGTATGTTTTACTATTTAGTGCATATGGCACAAATACAAATTTGTAAGTTCTAGGTCTTAGATTGTTTTTTTTTTCAAAGCTAGAAGTCTTCCATAGGCTACATTCCCATTCTTTAAGAATTCTTTAAGAAAATCTAATGATGGATTTTATTAACCTATAATTCATATTGTGTCTTATTTAATTTCTCATATGACACTCAATTGTTATAAGAGTAATGATCCTATGAGACCCTCCCACACCTAGGTCTGTAGGACCTCAAAAGATCACTATTAAATTTAGCACAAATCTATAGAAACGTTATAACAAGGGTGTGGGACTTGACTTTTCTAGAGATCTATGCCAAATTTAATAGTGATGCTTTGGGGTCCTACACATATGGGTGTGGGACGGTCTCACAAGGTCATTTCCCTTGTTCTAAACATATTGAAATGAAAATTTCACGCTATGGATTCGAAGGTAAACTAGAATTTATTATTGGATTAACCATTTCTATCAATGTTCCATTCTTTATTTTATTGAGGGGTATAAGGAGTAGTCATTTGTATTTTATTATTTAAAAACAAGTAGCCTTATTTGATGAATATTCTTGATCCTATAACTTCTTAGATTTCTAATTTTCCTATTAAGCTAATTATTAACATTCACTTTGAAAATCTTAAAATTCTTGAATGCTTCATTATGTCTTAATAAGTGCCTAGAAATGTAATGAGAGAAATTATCTATGAAGAGTATGAATATCTTCTTTAACATTTTCCAATTCACAAATATATTGTTGGGTATATGAGGCCATTAAAGGTCTTATGAGTGCTTGTAAATAAGCATTTAATATAATGGTACTTGAACTCAGTGGGAGTATGGTCCTATGTGGACCATATTAGGCAAATGATATTTGCCGATACTGGATTGAGCTTGACGAGTTAGACCAGTCAGTTGGGACAAATCCATGTTACCTGGGCATAGAGATTAAACCGATAAAGGTTATAATAGGTCATCCCTTGATGATGTTGGAGTATGTTCGGATAAGTGAGCCGAGAGACTCTATGGCCCTTGTGTATGATGAAAGCCCCCAGAGACGGGGCCCAAATCCTCATTCCTAAATCACCATATTGAGACAGCGAACCACCATTGAGGGTGAAGCATATACATATGCGATAGATTACCCCTATGCACTATAGAGCTATAGTCCAGACTAGAATAACCTAAAATCTACGGACTGGGATTACCCTTCCAAACATAATATTGTGATTTTCTTTGATTAAAGAAAGATTGGTTTTAAGGGCATCAAGTTTAGATCCTAGATTTATTTTCAATGACTACTTGTAATTGACCTAGCAGGAGAAAGAAAAGAAAAAGAGAAGAAAAAAGAAGAAGAAAGAATACATACACTGGCTAAATCACATAAGTCCTCTTTCAAATATAGGTAAAAGTGCTAATAACCGAAATGAAAGATGTTCTTGTCATTTTGGCTTGTAGACACACCTCACAATTTTTCATTTGAAAAATTGTCATATTTAAAAAATTAGGCCTGAATATCTTAATCAACATGCCACAAATTACATTCCATAATAATTCTTTATTTCATTAATCAAGTCATGCTTGAACCTCTCATTACAGAAGTATTCCTTTTCAACAAAATATAACATTTTTTGTTACATGATCTTATAGACCTTATGACAACCATGAGACCCCTATCATTTAATAAATAATCAAATACGAAATTCCTTTTAACATCATGTACAGGAAGTACATTTTCTTAATTAACAACTTGCCAGAATTGAATTTCAATTGATATTATGTTACTAAGCATATATCCAATGATTTGAATTCCAGGTAAGACTTTCCCATTATATACTGGTTCATACATTTGACACATTGGTTCATATGGCTTAAAGAGGTCTGATTTGATACATGAATGGTAGTCCTGATGTTTACCCCCAACTTTATTCTCTGTTGATCATATTCACTTTGGTAACTACATTTAGCCATTTTTCTTTGGTGTTCATATTTGCTTGGTTTTTGAGATTTGGATACATCTTTTGATGTTAGCATTTCCTCGAATGGAGTTTGGGTTTAGCACAAATAAAAACAATTTCCTTTCATTAGTTTTTGTTGGAATTATATTTTAGATCCTTGGATGTCTCCTTTTGGATTGGAGGACAAAAAGGGTCGATTTGAGTCGTGCCCTTAGATTAATAGCCCATAAGGTTTGCCTAATGATTTATTTTAAGTATGATCTTTTCCTTAATATGAAAAGATTGTATTGCAGTTGAACCATATTAATATCAACTCTCATGTTCTTCATTTTCTTTTGATACTCTTTTTATGATGGGGTTAACTTGTGAATGGTAGTTCCCACTTTGAAGGACTCATCTATTAAATTCTTGTTCTTTAAGTTTGTTTATGATGAGTTGTATCTCACACATATTATTGAGTATCAATCTATTCTCAATGAATCTATATTCCAAATAACATGCCTCGGGCCCTAACTGTGGGCTTTGACAAGCGACTCAAACCCATCCTGGCTCTAGCACCCTGCCCAAAAGCTTGTGGGCTAGCCCAAGCACATTAATGGCCCTAGTCTCGTGGAAAGTTTTTCACTTACTTTGTTATGACCCTGGCTTTGAGAAAGTAAAACAAATAAAAGCTCTTATGTCCCTTGCATCAGATGATGTTCATTAATGATCATCATGGTCCATTTTTTGGACAGCTGGACTCGAGCCATGAAAGGCATGACTAGGTGATTTTAAAACTTAATAAATACATGATTTGTATATATTATGATAGAGTTTGGGTCTGCAACACTATTCTAACAGATTTCATAAGCTTTCGGATATAAGAAACTGAAGGCTGAGTATCATTCCTTGACGGACTTTTAGTGGGGAAATGACATGTGAACTTTTGGTCCATGACTTCAAACCATAGTTAGCGATTTTTTGAAATTCGTTAAGAACTCCAAGTTTTTCAAAAGATCTTCAAAAAAATCGTGTTTTTTTAATGAAAACGAGCCAAATCTATATTTTATCTTTTTCCAAAAAAAATTTTCAAAAAAAAGCTTTTTCACTGTAACTTTATATCTTCATTGATTTAATATTTTTAGATTTTGGTTTTGAGATAAGTACATTAAAAGTTGGAATAAATTAAGATTCCGAATTTGACAAAAATTTCACCAATATGTTCCCTTCAAAGAAACACAATATATTCCCCAAAAGTAATCCATCAAACCAATTATATATTTCATTAGAACAAGAGTAACCCAATAAAATGTCTTTATTTTCTTTTAAAAAGAAAGTGCCATCATAAAGAACAAGAGTGAGATTTACTAACAACCAAAGATTTAGGCAGCTAGGAATTCGTGATTGGCTTCGAATATTTGGATTGGCTTAAGTATTTTGTTACTATCTTTCTACATACAGAAGTTTGAGTGATTATATCTTTTCATTTTATTTTTTAGATTTCATTGCTGTATACAACATAGTAATTTGGTTGGACCACTATTTTACATTTTTGGGTTTTTGTGTTTTAGCTAAATAAAATCATATATTGAGGTTCTTTTTTTATTTTTTTCCTTTGAACAATAATCCCATACCTAAGTTGATTGTTCTTGTTGTCGTCGTTTTATTGTATGCTCTCAATAAATCTATCATATGTTAGGTGTCATGACAACAAAGTAAGCATTGTTATAGTACATACTAAAAGTTTAAGCAAAAATTTGTCGAGCAAGGTTCTAATGATACTAGATAAAGACATAAAATTATTTTTCAATGGTTTTAATGTACCCATACGTTAGCGACAACTCATGATTTTGTATTTTGTTATATTTAAATATACGCTTTTTTCACAACTATTTTTTTGAGCCGGACCCAAAATATTCACGATTCTTTAACTTACCACATTTTTTTTGCTTCCATATTTTTTACACAATTTTCTTCTTTTTTTTGTTTCTTTGACCATCGACCATGGAAGCCTAAAAATTATATGTTGGAAGTCATAAATTTTATTTCAATCATTTACTGTCAAAATTTTCATAAAAGGGGCAATACAAATTGCAATGGGAAATTGCATGTTGTCTATTTTCTTGTTCTTTTTTGTCCGTATGACTTTACTACTACTGCTACTACTACCAAGTAGTAGTCGTAGTAATACTAGTAGTAGTAGCAGCATTAGTAGTTTACTATTAACATGTGCTCTTTGAACAGCGATATGGCTGGCAGTTGCTACTTTCATGGAACTACCAGTTTCATCTCAACTCTCAATTCGGAGTGCCCTCTTCGGAACAATGTTGATCACCAAAAAGGTTTATTTTCTCACATTCTATCATTGCTTCCCAATTCTCTTATATGTTGATCCTTTTCATGCCTATAAAGATGACAGAAACTATCTAACTTTTTCTTTCTGTTCTTTTATTCTTCTTTTTTTAAGGACAAAACGATAAAGTTCCACTTCCGAGCTATTGGTCAGGTTTTTGCGGAATGGGCTTTAGCTCCTTTTCTAGCATGTGTGGCTGCTCTTTGCTTTTTCGGGGTCTTGAAGATCACCATTCTTCGTTCAGAAAACGCGGAAAAAAAGATAATTGTGGCACTACCATTCGTCTACGGGCTGTCAACTGGATTGTTATGCCTCTTTGTTTTGTACCAGGTTGGACTTCAGATAGTAAACTAATTGAAACAATGATTTTAAATTTTGGATCATATACTATGACACATGTAATTTAAAAACAATGTGATACATAAAGAACGTCAATAATTCATTATCAGCAGTGGATGGACTTCTCCTGTTGAAAATGATATTGATGGATAGAGTGGAGCAGTAGTTATGTCAAGCATTTTCCATAAACATCGGCTCATTGAGGTTACATGTAGCATAATGCTTGCATGCAACATACAATATGGTGTGATAATAAATAAATAAATAAATAAATAAAAATAAAAAATTTATTTAAGGGGTCAAAATCTTTACAAAAAGTGTATAAAGATATCATTTACTTTTAATACAAGGAGGTCACAATCATTCTTGTCCATCAGATTTCAAATCATGTGGTTGGGAGTGTATCATTAACTAGACTGAAACTTCAAAATAAATTTCCTCAGACTTTATAGCACAATTTAAGTCAATCCAATTTGACATCTAATGGGCTAGTAACAATTACGACCTCCTTGTAACAAAGATAAATGATCTTATAGTATAAAATCTTGAATCTTTAAGGGGGGAGAAAATAGGTTTACCTTCTCATTTTCATTTCACTCAGATATCTCTAAAATTTATCTCTAAAATATCCAAATCACCTTGTTTCAGTTAGGGAACCTAAACTTGAACAAGAAAGGGTAATGAATTTGCCCGCCTTGAATAAGCAGGGGTACTTATCGCCATTTGGTCGGGCCTCTTTGGTGGGTAAAATTACTAAAATATCTTTCTTTGTTCAATGTTTTCAATGCTAACACGGGTAATTTGGGTATTTTTGAAGTTAGCTTTTGAGAAGGCACATGAGTAAAAGGAAATTAAAAAGTAAATTGTATATTATTAATGGAGATGTTTTGACCCCTTTCATGACTTTGTAAGGTGTTTTGACCCCATAATGATATTTCTCCTAGTATGATTTTGCTCTAGAATCAAAATGATTATGTTTCAATTCTTCTTCTTCAAACTGGTTTAAATTTAATGAACATTTTTAATGGCAGGTTTTACCAGACATCATATTGATTAAGCAATGGCAAGCTGTAGTTGCTGTATTAGTGGCAGCCTCTATTGCTGCAATTTTATCCTTGGTATTCTTCTTTCTCTCTTTGGTTTTTTATTTTTTCTTCTTAAAAGTCATTTTCTAATATGAACTCAATTCGTTCTAATCTTAGGAAATAACATTTTCTTCCCTTGACTAAAATACACATGTAATATACATTGTAAAACATACCTTATAATTGCTTCTAATCATTATTTAATTGATGTTTTATTTTATTTTCATTATTATTTCTTTCGTTTTAAACAATCAGTTCGCAGTTGTCAGCCCTAGTAGAAGAAAAATCAAAATTTCCAACAAAATGATTAAGAAAGCAGATTTACCTAAGAAAGGAATGACATCAACAAGAAATGATGAACACCAAGATCAATTTGAGAATGCTTTGAAGGAATACAGGGAAATGAGAGTTTTGCACACAGTTTATGAAGGAGAAGAAGAGGAGAAAAGTAATGATGGTGGCTTATCCCCTCCGACAATGAGTTCAGATTCCGGCAAACCGCTTAAACAATTATTAGCTTCAACTCCAAACAAGCTACTTCGATGTGATGATCCTGAAGATATTCATAATTTATCGAAAACTCAGACTTGCTCGAATTCCTTGGCGAATTTCAAGAGCCGCATCTTCTCTATAGTAAGTTCTGTAAGCTTGGATTGGTAATCTAACTATATGCTAACCATGTTCATTGGATTTATATTGGTATCATTATTTTCAAGTAACCATTTCTTATTTGTGGCGTTGTACATGAACCTATACAAGTTGTAGGGGACTTGGCGTTCTTCATGATATGCTACTTCCAAAACTCTTCTCTCTTCCTTTCTAGAAAATGTTTTTAGTTCGGAAGTTCTTTTAATCAAATGTGGAGGTGCATGTGGCTTGATGCGGCCACGTTCGTATGAAATACTTTGACATGAACACTCTTGGAAGCATGTGGCATTTTGCTTTATGAATTTTTTTTAAAAGTAATCAGATTGAAAATCTACATAATAATCTGACAAAATAAAGTGGTCAGAATTTATATATAATAAATAACAAGCAAAATATTGGGGAAAGGAAAATCATACTTGGTTTTAAGTTTAAAAGTTGAAGGAGTTGTGTGCAAGAAGATGCGAATCGTTTGTTTTTGGTGCAGTACTAAATAAGGGTAATTCCCTTTTTTTTGAAAATTTCATATACTTTGAACTAGGGTTGGTAGTAGGGCGGGCCAGGGCTAGCCCTAGCCCGACCCTAGTTCCCATAAGGCTAGCCCTGATCAAGTCAATGAGGTCCTGATAGCCCCTATTAGGGCCGAGCCGGGCCAAATAAAATAAAAAAATATAAAAGAAAAACCTGAGGAAAAGAGGGCAGTCTAGGTTGAACTGAGCGCCATGGCTAGGCCCATTCCTACCCTTGGACCATGTTGGTTCGACCCTGACCCAACACTTATTTCACATTTCATTCGAGTAAAGAGCCTATCAGTCGACTTACAAAGGTTACATAAGCATTTTCACTTTTATTTATTTTAAAGTACCTTCAAAGCTTATTTCTTTTAATTTTATATTCATGTTTGCGTCAATCATCATTTTAATGACTTCACATAAGCTTCAGAGTAACATTGTATTGGAGACATCACCTTTTTCTTGGTATGCAGCAAGGAGCTGAATATGATCAGAATACACTTGTTCGACATGCTTTAGCAGAGAAGTTTGATGAGAAGATGGAAGATCTTTTCAGTTTTCCACAGGTTCTAGCTGCTTGCATCTTTGCGTAGGTTCCTGCTTATCACATTTTTCATTATTTTTGTTTCACCTTGTTTCTTTCAA